TGGGTCAGTGTCGTAGTTTGACATGGGAGGAATTTAGGGAAGTGAGGCAAAAGATTTTTGTGTAACTGAGTTTGTTGAGCCACTGAGAAGCTGGACACTCTTCTGTGAAAGACAGTGTCTTTTTCCTCTTGTGGAGAAGTCTCCATAACCTTAACAAGAGGGACTTCTCTCCCTAAGTGAACTGAAGAAAGACTATTTTAAAGGTAGTAAACTGACTGGCAATTTTAGGTTTTGTTTCTTTACATTATCAGTGAGAAAGAAAAGGTTGGGGGGGAGAAGAAGTGTTCTGAAGGGTTTGTTTTGATTCTTACTACTTTTTTCTTTCTTTTAATTACTTTTAATAAAATTTTCTTTATACCCTTTTAAAGTTTTGAGCCTGCTTTTCCTTTCTCCTAATCCTATCTCACCTCAGGAAGTGAATGCATTAGTGATTGACCAGCACCAAAACCTACCACACTCTTTGATGCATTAGCTGGGATATTTTAAAATTGAGGAAATCTTAAATTAACAAACCAAAACCACTACAGTCAGTTATAATCAGAGTTACTCAGAAAGTAACTGGGTGTCCCAATCCCCCCACAACAGCTTGTTCTGCACTGGGAAGATACATCAGGGCCACCACACCTCTGGCCTTGGGAGCAGGCTGGATGTTGTAGTGCACTAAATAATTTATTTAGTTGTTGTTTTGCACTGGGTGGTTGTAAATTTGCACTGAGTAGTTTTGACAGCTGGATGCCAAGGCAGAGAGCAGGCAGAGGCCCCTCCTCACAGGGTTACTCACGGATCTGTCGAGGACAGTGGGGATGAAGTCGTGCCCAATGCCCTCCACCTCGATGGTTGTGGTGTTGCTCTTGTTCATCTCACTGGGCAGAGCGACGATGGAGCCGTCGGGGTCCACGCCAATGATCTTGTAGGGAAAGGCATTTTGTCAAACCAAAATGGGAATTCAGAAACAGCCAAACACAAAACTCAAAGGAAAAGTTACCCACACCCTCAGCAGCAGTGTTTCCTCCCCCTGGTATTCATTAATATTCCTAATGACTGGCAGCATGGAGAGCTTCCAGGATAAAAGGGTGCTGTTTTTCACTGTCTTAAATAGATCCTAGGTAGTCTTCAGCTGTTGCAGAAGTGACTGGTGGCTTAAAATGTTATCACTCTCAAGGTGTTTGTCATCACCCCCTTGGCAGAGCCTGCCCCTTCCAAAGCCCAACCCTGAGGACAGTGCCAGAGCTCCTTAATCTGCTCTAGGTGAAGCCAGCCAGTGAGCTCCAACCTGTGGAGACCTGTGGATACAGACATCCTTTCTGGATCTAGCTGTGCTGGCTGATGGTGGCATCTCCCTGGTTATTCACAGCCTTGTGTCTGGGCTGAGGTGTCTCCTCAGCACGCAGCTTAAGGAGGGATGGTGACACTGCACACGCAGCTGCACGCTGCCAGCGAGGCAGCCTCACGTCCCAGACCTCCAGTGGTGGGTCCACACCTCTCTGGGGATCAGGGATCACTCACACACTGACCAGACCAGTCTGTGCACACCTCCAGTCTGCCTTGAAGCACGAGCTCTGCAGGATGAGCATCGTGAGTGATGCTACCCCTAAAGAACAGAGGGTTTTGCAGTGGCAGAGGAGAAGCATTTGCTGTCTGTGCCTCACCAGAGTGTCCTGCACAGAGCAAGGCACCAGGCAGGGGTAGATTTTAGTGGGGCTGTGGAAACTTTGGTCTCTAAGGCACTTGGATGGGTCTAGATCAGCCTAAACATCACCAAATTTCTTCCCACAGAAGCCACATTGCTGTGAACAAATTAGTGCAGACAGCAACTACTTCCTCAGGTGAGCCTGGGGTTAGGCAGGAAATGACATGCAGAGACAGGACAAGGGGGAATGGCTTTGAGCTGAAGGAGGGTAGATTTATACTGGGTAATAGGAAGAAATCTCTTATTGTAAGGGTGGTGAGGCCCTGCCACAGGATGCCCAGAGGAGTTGTGGGTGCCCCATCCCTGGAATTGTTCAAGGCCAGCTCTGAGCAACCTGGTCTGGTGGAAGGTGTCCCTGCTGATGGCAGGAGGGTGGAATGGGATGACCCCTAATATCCTTTCCAGCCCAAACCACTCTGTGATTCCATGAAAACCCCAGCAGTCCTGCCTCCAGCCTTACCTTGCACTCCGGGCACTTCTCCTTCAGCTTCCTGGCGACACCAGTGATGGTTCCTCCTGTGCCAGACCCAATCACCACCATGTGCACCTTGCCTGCAGATCAGGGGGCAGAGAGGTTTGCAAGGGCTCAGCACAGCCCCCAGCAGGATCTCCCCTTTATGCAGAGCCCTGTGCAGATGCAGAGCCTGTGTCCAGCAGAACCCCTGTGAGCAAAGGTCAGGCAGAGGCCGTGCTGGTGGCCAAAGCCTGGTCCTGTGCAGGAGCTCAGATGAGCTTGCAGGACCTGAGCACAGCTGGTCCTGCCTCACTGCAGGGAGCTGAAGGTGATCTCCAGATCTCCCATTGCAGCTCTCCATGATTTCTGCATCTTTGGCTTCTCCTGAGCTGAGGGAACGGCATGAAGATGTGTCAGGGGAGATTTAGGTTGGGTATTAGGGAAAAGTTCTTCCACAGAGGGTGGCTGGCCACTGAACAGGCTCCCAGGGCAGTGGTCACAGCACCAGCCTGGCAGAGCTCAAGGAGTGTTTGGACAATGCTCTCAGGCACATGGTGTAACTTTTTAGGTGTCCTGTGCAGGACCACAAGTTGGACTTTGATGATCCTTGTGGGTCCTCTCCAACTCAGGATATTCTGTGATTCTGTGGCTTAAGGAGGAGGGAATATCTCAGCACATCCACCCTTTTCAAACCACAGCATATCAAAGCAGGTCACACACGTGAATATCACTAACAGGCACAACCTTTCAGCCTGTGTTGGCATCCACAGTGGAGGGAGGGTTGAGCTCTGCCCTGACACCTGCCTCTGTGAGATGCAATCCCACTGACATCGCTGAAATTATACAGATTTAGGACTGAAAGGAGCAGAATTGGAGTCTGACCTTCAAAACTTGACACTGCAGCTGCACTGGGAAAGGGGGACCTGCAACCCACAGCTGGCAGCCAGCTGGAGCAAACCCTGACACTGCAGAGGAGGCAAGGCTGGGACTCTCTTGCTGCCATTGATAGCTGACTCTTTACTGCTCTGATAACTGCTGTCCAGTTAAAACCCTCAAGTCCTGGTCACGCTTCACAGTGCTCCCAGAACTGGCAGTAAATTTCACTTCTATCTGCACAAACATGGACTGGGACAGCCCTTTATCCTCCCCCAGCCCTCGCTTCCAGTGGCACTCGTTTGTGAGGTCTTGATTTGAAAATGAGAGTGCTGGATCAGATGCAGCCTTGCCATGCCCTGGTGGATTTATATTCCCCTCCAAGACCTCGTGGGACCTCTTGTGCTCCCGGCTGGCAGGTCACAGAGCTGGTGTGGCCACCAAGAGACATGTTCTTTCTCCTTTAGGTACAACCTGAGTTTCCTAAGCCTCTGGTCTCCCCCCAGGCTTTTGCAATGGGAGGGGAGAGCCGGGAAGCCCTGCAAGGCTGAGGTGGATCTGGAGTGGATTAGGAGAGGTTGCTACACCCTGTGTGTCAGTGTTATTAAGATAATACTGCCGGCCCCTCCAGAGGCCCTTTGGGCTGTTTCTAGACATTCAGCTCAATAAATGATGTAAATGAAGCCTCTCAGAGAGGGCTACAGCCCCCTGCACGTCGAGGCAGCAGCACAGACAGTACCTTCACACTGCTCCAGGATCTCCTCGGCCGTGGTGTCGTAATGAGCCAGGGGGTTGCTCGGGTTTCGGTACTGTTTATTCCAGCAGAGAACAGCAGCAGTTACCGTGTGAAGAGCAGGGCAAATACCAAGCCAGACACAGCTCCTGACAGAGCTGTACCCAGAGCATGCAGCTTCCCCCTCCTCTCCCTGCTGAGGGGGACACTGCCACCCCACCAGGACAGGTCACGGGTGTTCCTCCTGTTTGTCCCTTTGGCACAGATTTCCAGGCCCACTTGGGATTTTTCCACACTGGGAGGTTAAATGTGCCCACAAACACTCCCTCTCCAGCACTTGGTGCCCCTTAGGTGTGGGGAAGGTTCAGAGGCTGGGGACTGTGAGCTGGAGAAGCTTCCTGATCATCAATCAGCTCTTGTGCACAAGAGGGATTTAGCAGCACTGATATTTGTGCACCCCACTTTCACACCCATGGACCAAAAATGAGCTGAAAAGCTCATCCAGTCTTTGAGCTACTTTTTTCTCAGAAGGAAGGAGCTCGCCTGACTTTCTGCACTCCAGGGGCTCCTCACTCAGGGCTCAGACCAAGTGTCCTCCTGTCCAAGACCCAGCACTGCAGGAACCTCTGGCATGAGTCACCAGGGTTTGCCCTTTACAGCATGAGGTTTATTTTTGAGGCAGAACAGAGGCTGCTAGCTAGGCTTAAAAAGTGGGGGTTTTTTTCAGGTCAAAGTTAAACCTGAAGCAATTTGAGTTGTCTTTGAACTGTGCAAGAAAACCCAGCCTCACCCACACCCAGGCTTTGGCAGAAGTGTTGCAGGTTTGGAAGTGCCCCTTATTTTGTTTCTGTCCCCCTGTGCTTTGCAGAGTGATTAAGTTTCAAATGCCATAAAACACTGACGAAATCTGCCTCTGGTGCCAGTTCTAATGGAGCCCCCAAACAGAGGCACTCTTGGAGAACACCTTATAAACTCTCTTGGGAAAGGGAGCCAGTGGAGGGATGGCCTTTACCTGGTCCAGGATGTGAGCGTTTGGGATTTCACTTTTCAGCTTCCAGGCCACACGGATGTTGGACTCGGGGGCATCAAAGCGAGTGCACGGTGTTCTCACGATTTCAGCACCCAGTGCCTTCAGAATATCGACCTTTGGGAGGGACAAGAGGAGCTGCAGCACAGCTGATCCCACACAGGGATGGTAACCCGAACCTGCGGGCTCAGGGCAGCACCAGATGCCAGAGCAGCTTTGCATGTGGGAGACATTTATCCTGTGGAGATACAATGTCCAGCTCTGGACTCTGCTATCTCTGACATGCTCCAGCAGCCCAGGGCTCCTGTCTGAAGCTGGCACATGGATTTGAGCCTGGCTTCTTGCCCTGTCCCACTTGGAGGGCAGGCTGGGGACAGGGTGGAGGGAGGTGACAGTGTGCTGCTCCTTGGTGCCAGAGGAAAAGGGCAGAGGGAACTGGACAGGGAACAGTGTCTCCTGTGCTGGGACTGGAGCCCCAGCATGCAAAGGGGAGATCAAAAGCTGATTTTGCCCTAAGTCCCTTCTCTTCTCTCACCAAAATCAGGGAAGGAGCAATCAGCCCTAGGGTGTCTCCTCTGGGAGATGGGGCTGTCAGTGGGACAGGGGAGTGTTGGGACACCTGGAGATGAAGCCCATGGCAGCTGGAGGTGGCATCTGACCCAGACTGAGCTTGGGTGAGATTTAGGTTGAATTGAGGATGACACTTTGGAGAAGGGCTCATTCTTGAGCCAGCTCAGGGTGTGTGTCTGGCTTCACTGGCATGAGTTCAGCTGTCTGTGAGGCTCTTGGCTCAGCAGTGAGGGATTTCTGCCATCTCCAGGACGGTGTGCTCACCAGACCATCAGCTCTCATGCAAGTGACTTGAGACACCACCCTGAGAAACAGCTCGGGCAACTCTAAGTGTCCCCAGCTGAAAGAAAGCCATAAATGCACAGTGAGGCCAAGTGACCTGTCAGATGTCAGGGGGGAAGTGAGCAGGACTGGCAGGACAGCCCTGGCACCTGCCTGCCTCTCCTGCTGTGCTCCACGTTCAGCAGATGCTGCTCTGTTTCTCTGCACCCACACACTGTGTTTGGCTATCCCAGCTGCACTTCTGACACCAGACAGCCACCAGCCATCACAGGCTGCCTTTATTCCCCTCAAGAGGCAACTTTCTGAACAGCAGCTGTGGCAGTGGGTGTGCAAGGCTCATTGGCTTTTAAAGTGCTCCAGGGAGGGAGAAGCAGAGACAGAGAGAGAACAGGGAGATGTTCCCCAGCTGTGGGGTAAAACCATACAGAGCTCTGACCTTCTCCATGCTCATTTTCTCTGGCAGGACGATGATGCAGCGGTAACCCTTCAATGCAGCCACCAGTGCCAGCCCAATCCCTGCATGGGGGGAGCAGAGGGAACTGGTTGGCACCAGAATTTGGCAAGAGCAACGGATGGGCGCCGCTGCTCGCGCTCCTCTCTGGATGGAACCAAGGAGTGGCCACTGACCAGCCACGGGTGAGGGCATCCCCCACGAGCCTCCTGGGATGTGCTGGGAGCACCAGGGAGTGTGGGAGGATGGGCTGACGGGCAAGTGGAGCTGCAGCATCGCTCCTGCTCTCAGGGGTGGCACGGAGAGAATGGCAGGGCTGGGGAGAGCTTTTCTCCCCTCACAGAGGCTCAGCCTCCTTCCTGTGGTTTTGGAAACACAGGAGAGAGCTGATTGTGCTTCAGGAGTGCCTTCCCCTCCCCTTCAGTTGTGGGGGGACAGACACACAGGACGCAGCATGTCACTCCATGGCCGGCAGGCCAAGGGCACCTCTGCTCCAGTTTCAGCAGGGTGATGGATGGAGCCAGCTGCTCCCTGCTAGAGCAGGAAGGTGAGGCAGCAGGAAGGAGCAGCGTGTCCCTGCCAGGGGCTGCAGGGAGCCTGGTGCCATTCCAGCTGCCCCCAGGCAGGCAGGGAGCCAGTGTGACCCACGTGGGACACAGCTCTGGGGGAGCACAGATCCCCTTGGCTCCGTGGCTGGGGGTGGCTGGGGTGACACAGTGTGGTGGGGTGACAAGTGACAGTGACAAGGGCAAAAATCACAGGAATTCTCTTCCAACCCAGCAGGGGAATGGTCTCTGGGAACCTCTGAGAATTCAAAAGCTTCCCAGCCTGAAAACACCCAGGGTTGCCCCAGCCCCTGATGCTGTCTGCCTTGCCACAAGGAGACCTTCCAGGCACACCTGTGCAGGTGTGGGACCCTCACAGAAACCTCAGGAATTTCAGCAAGGAGGCACCTCAGCATCCCAGGAAGCCCATGACCACCAGGAGGGGAGCTGAGGGGAGGATGGAGCCAGAGCCCACCTCGTAACTCCAAATGCAAATCCCTGCTCCTCAGAAATTCCACCCTGCCCAGTTCCCAGGCAGAGGGAGCATCCCTGCCCTTCCCACCTGTGTTTCCTGAAGTGGGTTCAATCAAGGTGTCTCCTGGTTTGATAATCCCAGCTCTCTCTGCGTCCTCCACCATCCTGAGGCTGATGCGGTCCTTCACGCTGCCCCCTGCATTGAAGTACTCACACTTGGCCACTGGAAAGGGAAACAAAGGGGACACTCCATCAGGCACCTGCTCCTTTCTCCCCCTGGCCTCACTGCAGTGTTAGGACACCTCTTCCTCCTCTGCAGGACTTCCTTTGCTGAGGGGAATGCATCCCCCATTTGCATTTTTGGGATTTTCCATCAGAGTCCTTCTTTCCCCCATGTTTCCTCCACCCTGGATGGGTTTGAAGCCAACCTGGACAGCCCAGGATGGGTTAAAAATCAGCTGGACATGGTCATTGCAGGGTGGGAGGTGCCACACTGGCAGCACTCCTTGAGGACTCTTGTGTGAGCCAGGGATAGCAGCAAGGTCTCACTGTCTATCCTGGGGCACTGAGGTTTTTTAATAGATATCTAAAAAGCTCCCCTTTTGCAGGGATGATCTGTAGTCCTAACTGAGGTGCTGTAAAAAAATCCCAAACAATAGAAAGAACATTTTCAGGTGTCAGGCCAAATGACAGTTTCTTTCACTGAGCTAGCAACAAGCCAAGTCACTTTCCAAGGCACATCTCAGTCCTCACTGGGGCCTCCACACCACAGGATTCTTCTTACCAAGGCTTTGATCAACATCTGCAACTGAACTGGTGCCACTGAGCTCTGTTATATGAACAACACGGAGAAATGGGGATTTCCAGGGGTCTTTCACCCTGGCAGAGACAGCGACCTGAGGCTGAGAAATCAGCCCTGTACCCGAGCAGCCTGATCAGGAAAGGAAATCTCGTGCTCATCATTACATTTTATAACGCAAAGTGCCACAACTCCAGCTGCACAAGGGTCCCTGGGGGCACAGAAGACACCAGGCACTCCCATCCAGCTGTAGCTGCTTCCTTTTATTCCTGTCTTTGCCTGGGAAGGGGCCCTGTGCTGACACAGACAGGATTGTGGAGCTGCTCTGCCTGTTCTGCTTTCCTTCCCCTCCTGTGCCAGGGGAGGGAGACACCATCCCAGAAAATGGGATCTGCCCGGCTTTCCCAGCACCTGAAGCACCAGCCAGACATCCTGCAAGGGACAGGCTGCTCCAGAGCTGCTCCAGGCACTGCACATCTGTCCTCCCACCTCCAGCAGCTCCCTCCATGGTCTCCTGTGTCCCTCAGCTCTCATTGTGGGCAGGGTGAGGCAGTGCAGTGTGGAGGTTGCAGGGCTGGTGACCCAAGGATCCCAGATCCTGAGAAGGGATCAGGTGGGAAAACCCAGGGTGCTCCCTGTGTCTGTGTGCTCAGTGGGGTCTGGCTGCCCCAGGGTTCCCAGGTGCCACACAGCACTGCAGGGCTCTGCTGTGCCATTGCAGTAAGGATGGGTGCTCAGCAGGTCTCTCCTTACCCAGCTGTGTGACCCTCGTGGCACTTTCTGCCTCTCAGAATCTGCCTTTCTGCCCAGTTTGGATTATTAGGATTAGGAGTTATAGGAAAGGAGACTGAAAAGTCCACATGCACAGATCTGAGCTTATCACCCTTGTGACTGTAGGGGGACAGCCTAAAGCCAAGCCTGACATGACACAGCACAGGCTAACATCTCCTTAGGGAGAGGACTTAGATCCATCCCCAGATTTATGCCAGCTCTGCTCTGAGCTCATGCTGCTGTTACCTGGCAGGAGAAATGCCTCACTACCATTGCCCCCCTGCTCATTGCTGCTTGAAATCTCCTATTTGGCCCAAGAAATTACTGCCTAATAAGCAGGAGAGCCCAACATGAGCCACACCTGCCCCTCCCCATCTCTGTTCCTCTCTGAAGCCCCTCCAGCACCACCCCTCACCCTCACCTCGTGGCATGCAAAAACCTGGTGGGAAGGGGACACTCACAGAGCTCACACTTGAGCCCATAGGACTTCCCAATCTTGTTGATTTGGACCATTGGGGTGCAGCCAATTTTCTTGAGGATATTGGGCAAGATTTTCTTTTCTTCTCTCCTGAAATAATGCAGGAAAAAATAAAGTAAAATAAAAACTGTTGTTGTGCAACATGAATCAAGAGAAAATCTGAGAGAGGTTTCAGCAACTTTATCAAGGCCACCAAAAGACACCCCAGCTCCAAGAGAAAAAGAATTAGTAGCACCAGGAGTTAGTTACAGTTCTCCATCATGAGTTATTAGGTCTTTTACATAAAAAGTAAGCTAATTAATTTTCAGGGTTGTTCTGAAATGCCTTGTCACTATGGGACATGAAATAACACGACGCAGACACGCAGCTCTCCCAAGGTAAAAAGAGTACTTTTAATTTCTGACTCCAACATTTACAGATTTCCAAAAGTGACAGTGGATTTGAGGGTGACAGTGCCACCTCTCCAATGACACTGGACAAACCAACAGTCTATCAAATTTCTCTTTTTCCATAAAAGAATGCAAAACAATAAGTTATTTACATAAAGTGTGTGTGAAAGTTCATTACAAGAATGTAAACATCAGAAGGCTTAGAAAAACTTAAAAAATCAGGGTGACAGTGCCTTGCTCTGCAAAACCCTAGGCCAGATCTGTAATGAGTGAGAAGATGCTGACAAGCCTTTGGATTTTACGCTGTAGGTGAGAAAAGCAGGAGACACAGCATGAGGCTCCCCATCTTTTCCCCATCCTGCCCAGCCCCATCTCTGCTCCCCACATTTCCAGCTGCCTCTGGGCCAAGTGTTGCTGGCCAGGACTGCCAAACTTGCAAGGATGGCTCCAAGCCATGAGAGAAGCCCAAACCTGAGAGGGTTCTGGGGGGTGTTTTGCAAACAGTTGAACCCAGCTCTGTGACCGGTGAAATCCAGCTCCCAGACTGGCCAGTTGCACTGAGACTCCAGCAGAAGCCAAAACCCACAGCAACAGCAACAAAAACAGACCTGTTTGCCCAAACCACCTTGCCAAGGAACACACCCTCGAGCTCTCTGACAGATTGACGAGGGCTGTGTTTGTTTGGGCCACATCCTGGTCACAAGCCAAGGACATCTCCTTGCCATGGGGTGCCAACGCCCCGTTCCCTCAGTGCTCAGCTCTGCTGTGCACATCCCTCGCCTCCCACCATCCCTGCAGCCCTGAACTGGAGCTGTGCTGTCCCTGTCACGGCCAGGCAGTGGCTGTGTGCTGGCAGGAAGCCCGAGTGGTGCAGAGGTGACTCAGGGACCTCACACCCCTCCCTCCAGGTTCTGCAAGTGTGATATAAACACCTCCTGCCCTGCAGGAGTACAGGGCTTCAGTGAAGGTCTGTATTACCAAGAGGTTCCAGCCTCCCTGCATCCCTAGCCCAGAAATTATGGGATGTGCTGTTACCTCTCCCTCTGGGGGAAGTGTCTGCAGGCACCTCAGGCTCCTTTGAGTGCTGCCAAATATTAGGCAATACCACAATAAATGAGCTTCCCCCACAGCTGCAGCCATTGCCCATCTGCTCCAAAAGCCACTGAAATGCTCAGGGATTTCAGTGGGGCTCCTTCAGGTAAGGTTTAACTGGAGCCTGGCTCTCTTGAGAGTGACCTGAGTTACTGCATTGCACATCTGGATTGCATCCTGCAGGTCAGTTCAGGACAGCAGACAAGGATGGTTTTCCCCTAAGATTCCAGCTTTTAGTAATGGCTTGCTATTCCTTGAGATGTCCAGGGGAAAACCAGTCCTGGCAAAGCAAAGGATTCCTGCTGAGGTTATGTTGGGTCAGAACCAGCTCGAGGGATGTCAGAACTAGTCTACCTCTGTATCTTTCAAAAAAAAAAAATTAAATGTTTAATATTCTTAATTAAAATAACATCATGTCTCCTCCCTCTGCTTCTACCCCCAAAACTCAATCAGATTTCACCTGGGAATCTCAGAAAGTCCAGAGATTTTTGCTCCATTGGCTGCCATCTGTGGCTTACCCAGAGCAGGGAAACCAAACCACCTCTCCCTCCACACACTGCTGCAGAGCTGTGATGTGTCCCAGTGAATTTTTTTCCCTGCTACACAGTGGGTTATGTTTCAGCTCCTGCCCCAGCAGTGCTGTGTGGGCCCCCACAGCCAGACTCCATTCCCAGAGCAGTGTTTGATGCCCAGGGCTGGGGAATGTCTCTCCATCTCCTGTCTGGGGGTGGGATGGGCCCAGCCACTGGCACCACCAGGGCACCTTGAAGATAAATTGTTAAAAAAAAAAAAAATTATCCTGCTCAGAATGATAATTGAGGAAAAAAAAAAATCATTTTGACTGAAAAGTGCTGATTCTCTGCTCAGGCACCAGCTGCAGGGGTTGCACTGAGAGATGCACAGCTTGCTGGATCAGCTCCAGGGCTCTGCATTCCATTTTTCCCTCCTGCATGGGCCAGACTCAGAGGCTGCCCTGTGCTGCCCACATGCTGGTGGCTGTGCCCTGGCCTTGTCCTGCCTGGCACATGGTCAGGCATGACCATGCAGAGCTGTGCTGCACCTCCCACAGCTCCAGTTCCTGGAGCTGGATTCCTGCTTTACTCCACTGGCTGGAGCTGGGTCCCAGTCTCTGCACTGCAGGGACGTGTCTGCAGTTCCTGTGACATTTATGGGACAGCCTTATCTTTAGTAGCTTGTCTGTGTCTGGTTTGCAGAGTCATTAAAGCACTTCTTGTCAGGACTAGTCTGGGCCCTCACGTCACCCTGGGAGGGAACCTGCTGCTGTGAGGGCAAGAACAGCTCACTGTAAGAACTTTTCTCTGCTCTGGGGCCATTTGCTACTGATACAAAAGCCCAGGCCCTGGTAATCCATTTTTGTGAAGGCCTCTCAGCCATCTAAAATAAGATGCCCCAAACAAGGAGATGCTCTGGAAAACACAGAGCTGTGAGTCGAGCCAGCCACATCCTTCTGCAAAATAAAAGGGAGTGAAAAAAGTCTTCTGGGAGAGGAGCTACTAAGCTGCTTTTGCCATGTGGAAAATAAACCATCATTAACACAACAG